GAAATGGAGGCCTCTGCCACGTGTCTAATTATTATAAGCCAATCTGTTCTGAGATCCTTGCCTGCGGGTCCACCCATGAACTGCTCAGCCGGGTAGACCCAGAGGCTACAGAGGACCCCGTCTTCCCATCTGTGCCTCTGGCTGCAAGCTTGGCTGCTAGCACAGCTCTCTTGGGGCATGAGAGTAGAAGTACGAGTAGATCTCTGTTAGTTTCTTACAACAGAAATGGAAGCCAGAATATGTGTGTTGGCAGGGCTGGGATTCCCAGGGAGAACTCGCAATGTGAGCTCATTTTGCACTTCCCGCTACTTGCATGTGTCAGTGTTTCTGCCATGGTGTCAGTTTGCACAGCACCATCTGCCTTCTGGCTTCCAAGTGATGCTCGGACTCCCCTCCCATTCTCTGTGTACTTGGAGATCTGTGCTATTTTTGCTCTTTTGCTGTTATCCCAGCAGTGTTTGGGGAAGGAGAGGAAGTAAATGCATATACTCAGTTATCGTGTTTCACTGGAAGACTTTGCTGCTTCTTGCCTTTTTATTTTAAACATAATTAGTGAGCTTGAAGAACATCTTCCCATAAATATAGGAATCGGTATATTTCTTTTGTGAATTTCTTATTTATATATTTTATCCTTTGGAACATTTATCTCTTTTTGACTATACCGTAAAAGTTCTTTTCATATTTAGGTCCTTAACTTTCTGCCCCTCACATAGGTTATGGTACGTTCTTTAGTTTGTCTTTTGAAAGGAGATGATTATAACATTTTATTTGAATGTCCTGAAAAATCTGTCAGCTATATTGCTTTATCATTCCTGGGCTCCACATCATATATGGAAATGCCTTCTCCACAGGTTATAAAAATGGTTAGCCTTGTTTTCTTCCAGCACTTTTAAGATTTTCTTCTTACATTTAAGTACTTAATCCATCTGGAATTTATTCTGAAGGAATGACGTATGGATGGATCCAGTTTTTTTTTTTTCAAATGCCTCACCAATTGCCTGTTTGTTGAACAATTTATTGAACAATCTATATTTTCTTCACTGATTTGAAGAGACTCATTTTTCACATTCACTTGGGTTTATTCCTAGACTCTGTGTTCAGTTTATTTATGTATCTTCCTACCCCTGGGCCAATGCTGTGTTTCCATTGATTTCTGTGGCTTTACATGGATTTCAGAGTATGGAAGGCTCTTTGGTCTTCTGAATTTTCCTAGCTATCCTTTTATGCTTATCCTTATGGGTGACTGTTGTGTCATTTTCATTTCCAAAGTTAATCCTCTTAAAGTCTTGAATGGACTTGCAAATAATACAGTAAAACCCTAGTTTGTGATCATAATTTGTTACAGAAACGTGCTTGTAATCCAAAGCACTTGTATATTAAAGCAAATTTCCCCTTAAGAAATAATGGAAACTCAGACAATTTGTTCCACAACCCAAAAGTATTCATATAAAAGTGATTACAATAGTTTAATATAATATAAAATAATAAATAAAATGCAAAATATAAGAATAATTTAACCTGCACTTAACCTTTGAAAACCTTCGTGGCTAGTGTGAGAGAGACAAGAGAGAGGAGGGCTATTGTGCAGGACGACTTTCACATCACTAATGAAATCACTATCTACTGACTCAATGGAATCTTCTTCCTGTGCAAATTTAACAAGGAACCTACACAATGACACTTGCCTTTGTTCTTTTTGAAGATTTCTTAGAAATGTGACGTTGCATTGTCATTAAACAGATTCATTGCTTGCGCTAGGACAGCCTTATCCAGGTGGTACTTTTCTATATTTTTCACTGTTTCCCTCATTTTACATATCTCCTCAATCCTCTGCCCTTTTCTCCTCTTCCTCAGCAGATGAGAGCTCCTCCATAACCTCTTGCTGTTGGGAGATGACCATCCACAATCCTGGGGCAGGGGAACAAATGGGTCCGCTGTGATCAAGCGACATTCAGCATCATGTACCACTCATATTCCAAGATATCACTTGTTTATCAGGTTAAACTTGGTAATTGTTTGCTCATCTTGAGGAACACTTGCAGAACAAAGTACTCACAATCCAAGGTTTTACTGTATATTGGAAAAGATTGCACTAAAAGTAGACCCTTTTCTAGAAAAAAAGAAGTTGTTTTTTATAACTAGAAAAGAGATATCTTGAGAACTATCATCATGGTCATTGTAATGGCTAATTTTGACTGTCAGTTTGATTACCTCAAGAGTGCTTAGGAGCTTAGTGAAGCACTCTATGTCTGGGTGAGCCAGGGGAGAGTGACCTTGAGTGATACACATAGTCTTCTGCACCTTCCCCTGGGGATCTTCTGCTGCTCTGTGTGTCTGGCTGCTTTGAGGTGAGCAGTAGTCCCTAATCCCTCTGCCACGATGTTTCTGCTTTAGAGCCAGCTGACCATGAGCTGAATCCTCTGAAACCTTGAGCCAGATAAACCATTTTCCTTTGGATTGTGCCTGCTTAGCATTATGTACCAAGAACAGAAAGTAATGAACACAGTCATTATTTTATATCCAGGAAATAATAGTTTTAATCTACTTTACCTAAGGAAATTCTTGCTTGTATTTAATGGGAAGTTTTTTTTTTCAGTTATGATTTTTACCTCCTAATCTTTCCTAGTATTCAAAACAATATCATCCTACCTCATTAGTAAGGATTTAGATTCTCGTGGATAGTTGGAGACAAGTAAGCTCAGGGCTATATTACTAGTAAAAGGCAAATGGAACTTTTCTGTCAACATAAGTAAAAACTCAGTGTCAGGGGATAACCCAGGGCTTGCATGTGTCAGGTAAGCCCACTGAGCTGTCCTCCAGCTCTTTTTTATTTTGATACAGAGTCTTGGTTGCCCAGATCACCTCAAACTTGCAGTCCCCTGCGTCAGCTTCTCAGGTAGCTGGGATTACAGGTATACATTACCATACCTCTGGCTTAAGCTAATTTTAACATCAGACCCTAGGAGCCTTAAAGAGCTCAAAGAAGGGAGTCTTATGGGTTATAATTTTTATTAAGACAGTTGGTTCTTGAATTAGGCACCTTCTATATAAAACTCTCATATATTGTCTTATGCTCACCATAGTCCAGTGGGGTAGACGTAAACAGTTATTGTATCAATCTGCAGTGACTATTAAGGAAATAGAGATAAACATATGTGCTATGGTTTATGTCTATGTGTCCCCCCAATGCCTCATGCGGACATGGGGCAGGCTTTTAGAGTTTGAATATGGGTGTGAGAGCTGCACCCGCCCTGGAGTGGATAGTTTGCATATGTAAGGGAGAGGAAAAGGGTGCTTGAGGCCATTCCTCCCCCATTCCGCCCTGGTGTGTGGTTGTTGCTTAGCTGTGTTCTGCCATCCTGAGCTGCAGCTCTTTGCCATGTGCCACTGTGCCTTATAATCTGCCAAGTACGGATTAAAACTTCCATGAACTGTAAGTGAAATAAACCTTTCCTTCCTTAATTTTGGGCATCAGGTATTTTGTCCCAGCAATGAGAAAAAGTAACCAAGACAATATGTTAGTGATATCCCCAAGGTCACTATCCAAAGAACCAGTCAGCTTGCTGATTGCTGGTGGTGCCGGATGGCCACATGGTTCATAGTTCAAAACCTATCCCATGTTTCCTCCTCCAAAGCAGAAGTCAGCAGCAGCAATCTCTCAAACAAAGGAGAGTCAGGTCCTGGTATTACCTGAGAGTTCCTCTATTCTTGGAACTTGACATTGAGCCCGGCTACTCTGACTTCCATTTGAGTACTGGGAACCTACTTAGTGGGATTACCTGGAGCCAAGGAAGCAGCAGAAGCTGCCAGTATCAACACTGCACCACCTAATTCCTCTTTCATGGTATCATTAAGGAAGCCCCGGAAGCACTGTTGTGCAAATGCTGCCTAAGCCAAAACACTTAACCTGTGTAATCCGGAGCCTTGTTGTCTCCTCTAAGGGAGTCCCTCATGCCTCTGGCAGAAGTGTGGATGAGCTTATGCATCTGGTTACCTCCAGTCAGAGGAGTCCTAGGCAGAACCATGGATGGCATTTGTTTCTTTCTATCTCTCTGAATTACTTCCACCATCCAAAGAAGAAATAGGGGAGAAGATATGGTTAATACCAGATTTGTATAACAAATGTTTTATTTTCCTCTCCTTTATCATCCTTGGGGCTTTTAGCTGTCTGTGTCTTTTAACACTGCTGGACTGGGGAGTCAGCTGTCTTTGCTCTCCATGGAGATTATGTCTTTCCACTGATTGGACTTACAGGTTTCAATCCTAATATGCTGGATTAGCAGCAATCGATGGGAGGCAGCACAGGGCTGGACACCACCCTAGGAACAGGCTCCATACTGTCCAGCTCAATCTGCAAGGGTGCAAGGCCAGGGTCAGTGTCGATGCCCTGGGGTCAGTGTCGATGCCTCCTTACCAGGAGGGTCAGCAGTGCTCCCAACACATACAGCTCCGGTCTGTCTGTCTCTAAAACCTTGAACTTGGAGGAACATTTACTCACTGGCGTCATTTAAGACAGCACCAAAATAATTTTTTTTTCAGGGCATGGGATTCACACATGATATCCCAGATGCCAGAGTGGCAGTGTCTACGGGAAGACTCTGTAACCTTGGCCACTTTGCCAAATCCAAAACGCAGGAATGGAGCTGCATCTGGTTGTCTGACCTAGGAGCAAAACCACATGTTTATTGACAGTGACCTGATTGCTGATGTTTTGTTGCTATTCATTTGTTTTTGTTCTGTCAGCAAATTATTTTATTAGGGCTTTTATCCTTAACTGTTCTCTCACTAGAGAACATTACTGGGTTTTGTAGTTTGAGTTTCTCATATAGTGCTTTAAAATACAAGCTAAGAGGGGCTGGGGATTTAGCTCAGCAGCAAAAGCGCCTGCCTGGCAAGCGCAAGGTCGTGAGTTCGGTTCCCGGTACCAGAGAAAAACCAAAAATAAAATAAAATACAAGCTAAGAAAGTAAGGAAATTTTAATAAAGATCCTCTCTTTCAGATTTCCCACGCAAAGCTTTCTGAAGATGATGCATGGAAGTAAGTGATTGGTATCTTTTATCGTTGTTTAATTGAAATTGTATTTCCATCTTAGCAGTTTGAGAAATTGGAGTTTATCATTTTACTTGTAAATTCCCCAAGAGAGAAAAGGCAGAGAAAAGATAGCCACGTGTATCTATATAATAAAGATACTGTAGACTAAAACTGCATGGATTTCATCAGCTTCCTGAGTGTAATCTATACAGTCCCACAAAGCTAGATTAATACAGTCTTCCAAATATGGCGGGATCGAGTTAATATTTATTATAGGCGCATGATACATCTGGTTTTCTTTATGTGCTACTTCCTCTGCATGCTGGGACCTACTGTGGGGCCACAGGGAACTGTGAGCTGCACACGAAATGAAAATGAACTGTTCCTCACTTTTTGCCTGACAATAATCAATTATCAATGTATTCCTACTCAAAATAAGCAATGTTTCTTACATTTGGATACTAATTTATACTTTTCAAAGTACTTCCACATAAGTTAACCCATTTGAGATGCATGCTAATTATCTATGTGTGTATACATATGTGTGCATGTACACGCAGGATAGATTAATACCATAAATAATATTTTGTTTTCTGCCTGTGCAAGTCCTACTTTAAATTCATGAATTCACTCTTCTTTCCACGTGGCCTGAGTTGCAAGTTCATTAGATACATAGAATATTAAATAATCATTTTGGATTTATGGCAGCAAAAGCCATAACTAAGCTCTTGTACCTTTTTCATTTTTCCTCATTTTCCATTTCTTTGGGGGAGTGAATGTATTCTTTATTGATGTGAGCTTCCACAAACCATTTTTGTCTTCTAGATTTAGCTTCCAATAGAGATTAAGATCTATATGGTTTTATTTAAGTCGCTTCCAGGATCTGGCCTCAGCTTCTTCACTTGATCGGTGAAGGAGTTTCCCTGCATCTATGTACTTCTGCATCAGCCTTCTAAGAGTCCAGCAGGGAACCTGGACTCCAGCAGGATAATTTACAGGCTCGGTGGGCTCAATTCTACATCTTCTCCAGCAGGGGGCGCCCCTGGGATTTGGATGGGCCCTTCCTGAGGCGTTCAGTGCTTCCAGGCTCTGGAAATGCTGGTAGAGAAAGAAGCTAGTAGGCATAGCCCTCACGTGCCTTTAAAAGGTGCCAGCCTTGCCACACAGAATGTTCCTGGACAGTGTTTTCTGGTCGGTGCCCTCGTTATCTGTATGCAGTAGCTACTTACAAGTGGAAACAAAGGGATCCTGTGACTGAGGGTGCCTCACTGTAGTGAAACAGCAATTAGCCGATATTTAGAAAGCAATTCGCAACACTCGGAATCCTTCCCCTTGTTCCTAAGCATGACTCCAAGCCTCTCTCTCATTCCCTCTGGACCAGCGGTTCTCAATCTTAGTTGCTCCTTAAAGTCATATAGGAAGCTTTACAATTATTGACGTTTTAAACATTTAAACATTATATGTATATATGTAGAGAGAGATGGACATAGACATAGGTAGATACAAACAGAAATATCATGCGGTATGCCATTGGTATGTACAGTTTTTGTGTACCAGTTAAGGTATAAATTTAAATTTTGAAAAATTAATTAGTGATACCTAGCTTCCCTCTTGGGAATCTGTGTCAGTTTGCTAAGGCTCCCCTCACCAAGTGCCACAGCCAGGTGGCTGATGCAAAAGGAACTTATTTACTCAGAATTCTGGAGACTAAACGTGGGCATCAAGCAGTTGGCAAGTTTAGACTGACAGGTTGAGGAGCTGAGGGGCCGGGTCTTCACCCTAGGAATTCGGGGCAGGGGAAAATGATTTAGCCCACGGCACACAGCAGTGGTACTTAATCAATCCTGGGTACAGCTTGGACCCTGGGATTTCTTAAAATCTCCTCAGTGATTTCTAACTGAAGCTCAAGGTCAAGAACCATCGCTTTAGGTTTTCTTCAGGGTCATTTCTAGTCTAGGAAGTTAAGGCGCAAGACATATGTAGTGACTTTTTCTACCAGTGCAAAACTAACTCCCCAACTAGAAACTGAAGCATCCTGCTATTGTCTGAATGTCTGTCATGTTAAAGAAAACACAGAGGCGCATTCTCCCCAACAGCCACACCCGGTAATAGTTATATAACAACTCGTACTGCTCACTGTGGAGCTTTTTCTTGTCCCTGGATAATATTCTCCCTTCAGCAGAGGCACCATCAGCAGGATACCCTTTCATTTGAAAGTAGTAGAAAGTTCTAGAAATTACCAATGCTCTTCTGTTCTTGACTTTCAAAAGTGACAATTTTATATGACTATGCCTAATAATGGTCATTATTTTTCATATAGGTACAAATAAAAGAGCATGTGCCTTGCAGTATCGTGTCATAAAAACCAGGAGGTATAGAGGGATTATCTTGAATTTATAAAGGAGGAAACTGAGGCTCAGAAAAGAGGAGTGAATTGCCCAAGGATATGAAGCAGTGAAGCAGCAAATCGGGGACTGGAGCCCGAGTCTCCCAGGGCCTGTCAGGTCTTCTTAGCCTCACCTCGCTGCTTAATTTAAGAGACAAGACTAATTAGGCAGGAAGACTGCAAGTTCAAGCCCAGCCTGGGCAACTTAGCTGGCTTAACACTGTCAAAATAAAACACTGGGGCTGGGGATGTAGTTCAGTGCAAAGATCCTGGGCTCAATCACCAGTACCACAGCGAGAGAGAGGGGGGTGGGGGAGAAAGAGAATAAAGAAATAAGATTCAGGTCAAAATCATGTGGGATTGACAGCATTGGTTTTGCTGATAGAATCAGCTATTCTCTTCCCAATCCTAGGACAAAGGGAAGAAAGCAAGATAGACTTTGTCATCAAAACCTAGCACCACCTACATTTGAAACCTTCATCTTCCTCTGAGTCCTGCCTGCTGTTTGGCTGTTGTTTTGTCGTTTTGTTCTGTTCTGTGGAATGTGAGAGGCTTGAGGACCCTTTCAGATGACCTCATTTGCCGGTTACAGTCTGCAGCAGGAGCAGCTGTACAGGACGCACCGGGGCCACGAGTCCATGCACGTGGAGATGATCTTGATCTTCCTCTGCGCCCTGGTCATCGCTCAGGTGGTGCTGGTGCAGTGGAGACAGAGGCACAGCCAGTCCTACAATGTGAGTCGCCCCAGCCCCTGGAAGCCTGTTCCAGCTCGTCGGCTTGGGTGTCCTTTTGCTCCTGTTTGCCTTCTTGGTGACTTTGAAAGAGGGATTTGGCAGTGGTTCTCAGCCAGGTGCAATTTTGCCTCCAGAAGACACCTGGCAATGTGCAGAAACATGTTTGATTGTCATACCTTAGTTGGGAACAGAAAAGGGTGGGGAACTCCTACTGGCATCGGGTAAACTTCCTACAAGGCAGCACAGCTCCTCGCAATGAAAAGTGTATGGCCTGTGTGTCCATAGTGCCAGGAGGGGCCTTGGAGTAGGTAAACCTTTTGTCTTGGAGGCAAGTGAGTGTGCACGAACACCTGCCAATGGTCCAGGGAAAGGAAGATTAGGAAGACAAAAACAGAAGACTGAGGCTGTCTCCTATTTCTTAGCAATAAATAAATAATAATTATTATTAGCAATAGTTTTGCCACAAATGGTTTGCATATCCACAGAAAACAAATGCCACACTGACCCCATCAACACAAAGCAAAATCTCTCCCTCATAGAGCTGTCTCACTGGACCATGTCCACCAGCACGTCTCCCCCCATCTCAGGCAGGGCTCAGAGTCCCACCCCGTCCCTCTTGCGTCTATGACCTTCCCACTGCAGTGTGCAAAGCAGAGGTTCTCGGGTCGTGAGGTGCATTAGAATCACCAGGAGGGCTTGTCAAATCCCATTTCAGAGTCTCCTTGCAAAGTTTCTGGTTCAACAAAGACCTGATAACTTGTTTATCTAACAAGTCCCCATTGAGGCTGACGCCACTGGTCCTGGGTCCACACTTGGGGAACCACTGGTTTAGACTCAAGCATGACCTAAGTCATAGGGACGCTGTGAAGGGAGGAGGTCCGCAGTGAACACTCCAATGGCGCTGGGCATTACAGCAGTCACTGTCTAAGAAGACAGCACATGAGGTGTTGGACCAGGACTAGTACTGTATTTTATTTTTGCTCTTTATGAACATCACTTCCTGTGGAGCACACCCTTTGAAGGGATTCTCAGTTCTGTATAATATATAAAATTAGGTGATTTTTATTATTTTAATGAGAAAGGGGGATCTTGTTTTATTTTTTAAAACAATACATGAACTTCTTACTATGTCACCATTGTCTTCTCAACTAAAATAGATACACTTTATATTGTCCTGGGATAATTTTTTAAATGAATGAAACTAAAATCAGATTTCACTATTCAGTCTCATATCAAAGAAAAGCTCCGGGCTGGGGATTTAGCTCAGCGGCAAAAGCGCCTGCCTGGCAAGCGCAAGGTTGTGAGTTCGGTTCCCGGTACCGGAGAAAAACCAAAAAAAAAAAAACAAACAAAAAAAAAGAAAAGCTCCCTGTGTAAATCTTAACTACACTTTTTCTACCTTCAAGGTGGAAATATCTAAGATAGAAACACCCAACGTGAAACTGGATCCCTAAGGAACTAGTGCATAGATCTATTCTCTCTTCTCTTCATAACTGATAGTTACCTCTGGATTAGACAAAAAAGTCTTGTTTCCATGGTAACACAAGTGTGGCTTTTGCACAGACAGTCCTTGCCCTTGAAAGGAAGTTAGGTGGCTACATCGTGTCACTCCCCTCCTCCGGCCATGTTTTCAGGATTCTGGAGGTAGCTTATGCCAAAGAATCCGTCTTCATCTTATCAACTCTTTGAGGATACATGTTGCTGCACCAGTAAGTGTGGTACCCACACCCTGGCTATACCCAAAGCCCCCTTGAGTACTTGTGGCCCTTTGAGGTTCTGACCCTCCTGACTCAGTCTCACTGAGCCATGCAGACTTCCCTCGGCCTGGCACCTGTTGGCCTGCTGAGAGGTCTGTCTACACAGGGGTCTTGTCCCCTGTGTAGGCTACATTGCCTGGAGTGCCTCCCCAGAGACACTGTCCTCAGTCACCCAACTTTTGCTCCATAAGGCCACAGTTTCTGTCTCCTCCACCACACTGCTCCTCTATCTTAGCTGCTGAGATGAGCTCAATGGTCCCTAGGATCGCCTTGGAGGAAATAAGTCGCTGTGATCATGCCTCTCCTTCCTGGCATTTTGACAAAGCCAAGAGCCTAGATGAAGATGCTCCTGTCATAGTCCAGAACAGATGCAGGTCTGGTCATATGTTCCTGTCATAGTCCAGAACAGATGGTGGTCCCAATGGGACTCTGCTGGGTTTGCTTGGAAGTTGGTAGGACTCTGGGATGTTTCCTACTTCTTTGTCCATCAGTCCCTTTATTGCTGACAGTGTCCCAGGAGAAAACGCTGAGTAGCCCCTGTTGTCTCTGTTACTCCTCTTTGGCTCATGGTGAGAGCAAAGCTTTCCCGTGTTGTAGCCGTGCGTTGGGTCTATGCTTTGCATTCCTTCTTGTGGAGCCTCCAGAGTCCCTTGTCAGAGCACAGCCATTTCAGGAGCTCCCAGGGATACCTGCAACCACTGGAGCTGGAAATGCTCCCCAAGGCGCCAGTAGCTTAGTCTAGCCCTGCTTTCTTACCGTACTTGCCATGAACCATAATTCAAAAAATCTGGACCCAGTGCGTTACCCTATGGAACGCCTTGGGACTGGGATTTGATGGGCATGTTTCCATAAATACCAGCCTTCATAGCCCATTCAGAGAGTTGGGGCTGGGGATTTAGCTCAGCGGCAAAAGCGCCTGCCTGGCAAGCGCAAGGTCATGAGTTCGGTTCCTGGTACCGGAGAAAAGCCAAAAAAAACAAAAAAAAACAAAAAAAAACAAAACAAAAAGCAGAGAGTACCTAGCTTTTAAATTGTTTCTCTTGGCTCCAAGGTTATGTGGAGTTTATCAGAGCTACTGAGACCTCTGAACAAGAATAAGATTCATCAGGGTTATGGCTTTTTCCTGTAAGGGATCATATAGTAAAGTTTATTTCCATATTGGTAACAAACTCATATTATAATTAGTATAATAACAAACTTGTAATAGAATTATTACTGTAATATATAAGATTACTATATTATAAATTTTTATGAATTGCTATTATAGCCACAAAGAGTGCTCCTGGTACATTAGCTAGGTTAACCTGTGGTGGTGATTATTTTTTATTTCCCTTTGTGCAGTATAGTTCAGAGAGTTTAAAGAAATTGGCCAAATTCATATAACTAATTAGTTGCAGAGAGAACAGAATTCAGTAGCACTAGTTATTTGCTGTCATATAAGGACAAGCTTCCTAAATATCTCTGAACCGTGGTTTCCTTATCTGCAAAATGACAGTACCCAAGATAAGAACTTGTCTTTCAGAGCTGTGATTCAAAAACACTTTCCTGTGAGGACCTGTAGCAGTGACTGATAACCTTAAGCCAACCTTAATTGGCTCTGAATGTGTTCAAGAGATATTGCTTATTTCTAACATTTGTGCTAGTATCCTGTAAAACGAGTATGCCAATAAAAGAATCCTTTTCTAGATGCTTTGTAAACCTACAGTGACCACTCAACCATTGGTCTACATTCTCCATTAGAAGATTTTGGCTGTTTTTTCACATCGGTGCACCTGTATATCCTGCCTTCTCACAACCTTCTACTCTGTCACATGCTATTTTGAGGACAATTCCCTGGGCTGGTTTTGCAAAATGTATTAGTAGGAACTGGAATCAGGATGATGAAAGGAGAAGCATTTATGTAGGAGGCAGAAGATCTGTCTCACTTAACCTCCATTCCCTGGTGTTTAAAATGATAGAATATGAAAAAAATAGGAAGAACATCCGGTTTCATCCCAAACACGTAAAAACTGTGGAAGGCATCACTCCTATCTTGTAATAAGAAAAGAGCTGAGCAAACCACACATCAGAAACTTTTCTTGAACCCATCTTCTATTAAATTATAGTCACAGGGAAAACCATCTTAAAATCTGTGGAGACAGGTGAATGCAGGCGATCTCAGGTAAGATCTGCTTCCTGGGAGCAAAAGCAGCCAGAGCCGTGGGCTGGTAGGAGCTTGGAAGAATTTCTAAATGTGGAGTCCAGACTACGGTGAGGGTGAGAGACTTGGCAGCCGCCGTCATAGAGACATCTCGCGTTTTCATAAGTTTTCCCTCCGGGAACCTTACCAGGTCTTCATGGTGAAGAGCCAAGAAAAACTGATGCTTCTGGCAAGAGGAAGACACTCTGGGTCATTCTGAACTAGACCCAAAGTGTGCCCCATAACAAGGCCAAAACAGCGAGAGGGAAGATTTCACCAGAAGCTTATCCAGTGTTGAGGGAGAAATTACCTAGCTCCACCTCTGTCTAGCCTTCCCATACCACCAAAAATGAAATCACAGTGTTGAGAAACACCGTGAAGGTCAAAGCTCAGAGACAGAGGCATAAAAAGACAACCACAGGGGGACAGAACATTCTGCTGCCCCCACGCACACCTTGCCTGTGGATCTGTAGGTATCCTGACCAATCAGAGCAAGTTTGAGCTAAAAGAGCTGCAAAGCTCAGGTTCTGAGAAGTTTTTCAGAAACCCAGAGACAACTGGAGGGACATAAAAAAGACACCAGTGGAAATTGAAGCCTCTCACACTTAACACTATGGCAAACATTAAACACAGCCCAACTTCTAGTTAAATTAACACCAAACCTCACACTAGTGTGTCTACTTCAATTCCTATTACCTGAAATATCACCTGCTCTCCAGCCAAAAATAAGAGTCATGATTAAAGGAAAGAAAGACACAGTCTGAAGAGCCAAAGCAACCATCACAGCCAGACTCCGATATGGCAGAGATTTTGGAATTATCAGACCAGCGATTTAAAATAAATTACTGCCTATAGTTAGGACTGAGAGATATAGCTCAGTCTAGTGTGTGAGGCCCTGGATTCCATTCCTAGCATGGAAAAAATAAAATAAAGTAACTGTGGTTAATATGCCAAGGTCTCTAATGGAAAAAGTAGTCCACAAACAAGAACAGATGGGTCGTGTAAACAAAGAAGAGAAAATTAGGAAAGAATATAATACAGCTGGGTATGGTGGTGCACACCTG